GTCAACGACATCTATGTTCCGTCGAGATGTGTATTTAATATAAACAATAGAATATTTAAAAATAGCTATTAATTTTATTATAACCATGGAAATGTTTACTGACACTTATATATATATATATATATATATATATTATATTTATTATTAATATATATAATTAATATATATATATATATATATATATATATATATATATATATTGTAGCCATAGTAAAAATTCTTCATTCGTTATTTCGTCATTTAACTTTCATTTATAGAAATTATTCGTCACTTAACTTCCATCATGTAATCTTCATTAAATTATTAGTAACTGTATATTTTGTGATATTGATGATATTTTTACACAAAACAACTAAAATTAATTACAGAGTTGTTATTCATTTATAGTATCGCGATGTAAATATAAATTATCATAATCACTATAACTATGATGGACGGGGAGAGTGCGTGCAGTTGCGTGCAGGAAACACCATTTTTCAAGAACGTTTCGTTTCGTTTCGTCTCGCCGGCAGGGACGATGGAAGGTTATCTAGTGTGGAACCCGAGATGTCAGATGCCGTCAAAGGAGCCGATCGACCCGTCGATACGCTCGTACGTGAAGAAGGAAAAGTTCGAGAAGTGCGGCACCGAGCCGTCGTTCACCGCCCTCTCTCGGCGAGAGAACGGCACGCTGGTGCTGACGGTGGATCCTGTGGCGGCGGTTCGCCACCCCGGCCTCCGATGCTGCTGGGCGCCGGTGTACAGGGCCGAGAAACAGCCGTTGAAGCCGACCAAGGACAACAACGTGGACTCGTCGATCGTGTGAGTGGAGGAGAGAAGAGAAGAGAAGCAGGTAACGGCCGCGGTAACGCCCGACCGACCGACCAAAACGGACCGATTTTCTCCTTGCAGGGTGAAACGATGCGAGAGCTTCGTGGGTGAGGCGACGTTGCCCGACGACGAGGCGCAAGCGGCGATGGTCAGCTGCACCAGCGCAGAGTCCGACGACGGCCATCATCTGCCGGGTAAACGACGAGCGCGAAGAGGCAAGCCCATCTACGAGAACGTCCACGCGATCCCCAATCCCGACAAGGTTCGCGATCGGATGCTACGAACGGCCACCTTCAACGCCTCCACCGTTTTCAACAACTCCACCTCCGGCTCCAGCAACGCGTCTACTCTTTCCAGAAAGTTGAGCGTCCTGATGCTCGGCATCGACAGCGTCAGCCGATTGAACTTTATGCGCAGCGCGCCGCTCACCGACCGATACCTGCGCGAGACCGGCTGGATTCGGTTCGACGGGTACAACAAGATGGGCGACAACACGTTCCCAAATCTGATGGCGATACTCACCGGGCAGAATCAAACGCAGGCGTACACGCTCTGCAAGCCGACGGTCCCGCAGATGCTCGACCGTTGCCCGTTCCTCTGGCGAAACTTTCGCGACGCCGGCTACGCGACCGCCTACGGCGAGGACGAGACGACACTCAATACGTTCAACTATTTGAAACTAGGCTTCGTCCAGCCGCCCACCGACTATTACCTCAGGCCGTACATGCTCGCCTGCGAGAAGCTGCTCAAAGTGAAAAAGAGGTAAAAAAAAAAAAAAGGTAGAGGCTGATGCCTATCGTGTACAGTGGACGAAATTTTTTCTTTCAGGGGTCACTGACACTCGTTGGTGTAGAAGTTGGTGCTTTATTTATTTATTTATTTTTTTTTTGTATAAAGAATATATGTGGGAATAAAACGCACAACAACAGTGTGCAGTGAAATTTGCACAGGGACAGCCTGACACTGAAAATGTTATGAAAAAGAAAAATACTGTCATGTTAACGTTATTTAACATTTCCACCTAAACCTGAAACTGAAACTAAAATGTTATAAAAAACAAAAATACTGTGGTATTGATATTTAACATATTTCCACCTAAAACTGAAACTAAAATTAAAAATACTGTGATTTTAATATTTAAATATTTCCACTTGAAATTGAAACTAAAATGTTATAAAAAACAAAAATACTGTGGTATTGATATTTAACATTGTCACCTAAAACTAAAACTAGAACTAAAATATTGTGATTTTAATATTTAACATTTCCACTTGAAACTAAAACTGAAATGTTATAAAAAACAAAAATACTGTCATATTAATATTTAACACTTTCACCTAAAACTAAAATGTTATAAAAAACAAAAATATTGTCATATTAATATTTAACATTTCCTTAAACCTAAAACTAAATGTTATAAAAAACAAAAATACTGCAATATTAATATTTAACATATTTCCACCTAAAACTAAAACTCAAATGTTAGAAGAAACAAAAATACTGTGACATTAATATTTAACATTTCCACCTAAAACTAAAACTAAAATGTTATAAAAAACAAAAATACTGTGATATTAATAATATTTAACATTTCCTTAAATCTAAAACTAAAACTAAAATACTGTGATTTTAATATTTAACATTTCCACTTGAAACTAAAACTAAAATGTTAGAAAAAACAAAAATACTGTGACATTAATATTTAACATTTTCACCTAAACCTAAAACTAAAACTAAAATGTTATAAAAAACAAAAATATTGCAATATTAATATTTAACATATTTCCACCTAAAACTAAAATTAAAATGTTGTAAAAAACAAAAATACTGTGATATTAATATTTAACATTTCCTTAAACCTAAAACTAAAACTAAATGTTATAAAAAACAAAAAATACTGCAATATTAATATTTAACATATTTCCACCTAAAACTAAAACTAAAATGTTAGAAAAAACAAAAATACTGTGACATTAATATTTAACATTTCCACCTAAACCTAAAACTAAAACTAAAACTAAAACTAAAATACTGTGACATTGGTATTTAACATTTCCACCTAAAAAACTAAAACTAAAACTAAACTGTTACAAAAAAAACAAAAATACTGCGATATTAATATTTAACATATCCACCTTTATGACCAATTACTATACTTCAATGAAACCAATGTAGCGTATTAGCAAATGATGGCTGCCCCCATGCAGATTTCGTCCACTGTCTGTCCGATATCCAGATATATATTGGGCACGCAAATCTTTTCTTTTCTAATTTTCTAATTTTTTTTTCTTTTTTGCAGATTCAGGCTCAAGTACTGCACCGGGCCGGAGACCAGCTTCGACCGAATCCTCGACTACGGCGTGGAGTTTGCGCGGGCGTTCCTCGGCCTGCCGTACTTCGGCCTCTTCTGGACCATCAGCGTGAGCCACGAGAACGCGAACGGCCTCTCGTCGATGGACAGTCGGCTGCTGGACAAGCTGCAGCGACTGGAACGCGAGGGTGTGCTGAACGACACGATGGTGGTGCTGCTGAGCGACCACGGGATGCGCTGGGGCCCGATCAGGAACGCGTTCGTCGGATGGTACGAGGAGAGGCTTCCGTTCCTCTACTTCTGGCTGCCGGATTGGTTCCGGGCGGAGCGGCCGGACGCTTACTCGTCGCTACGGGCGAACCGTCGCCGACTCACCTCGCCGTTCGACCTCTACGAGACGCTGAGGCAAGTGCTCGCGTTATCGGGCGGCCTGGCCGACCCGTCGCCCGGCTGCCCCGGCTGTCGCAGCCTCCTCGACGGCCCGGTGCCACTCGAGAGAGGCTGCGCCGACGTCGGCGTCTCCTCGCACTGGTGCGCCTGCACCGCCTTCCGCCCGGCCGATCCGCGCGACCCTCGCGTCCAGAAGGGCGCCCGCGTCTTTCTCCAGCACGTCGACGACCTCCTGCAAACGGCCGGCTATCGGGACAAGAAGGGCCGACGGCTGTGCGCCAAGCTTCGCTTGAAGAAGCTCCACCGCGTCGAGCGCGTCGTCCACTTTGATAACACGGCGGCCAGCGGCGGCCACTACGTCGACTACTTTTACATGATCCAGGTGACACCCGGCGACGGCAGGTTCGAGGTGACGGTACGACGACACGCGAACGGGACCTACGACGTGTCCGACCACGAGATCAGCAGGCTCGACGCATACGCCTCCACCGCCGAGTGTCTCGATCGCGGGATCAAGCAGTACTGCCACTGCCTCAAGTGAAGCTCTCCGAAACTCTTTCACTTTCTCTCTCTTCCGAGGAGGGAAGGAGCGAAGGAATCGCACTTGGCAGACTGCCAACTCCAACCAATTCAATCTACTAATTCGTCGCTGGCAACCTATTGACCCTGAACGCCAATGACCGAACGTAACTCGCCGCGCGACAACGCCAACCGAGTGTGGTACAGGGTGTCCGAAAAAGGTTGGGACCAAGCTTGGACCACGTGTGTCACCGAGGTCGAGCAGAGATGGAAAAAAGTCCTGGGGATGCTTTGTCGAGAAGACGCGAGCCTTCAATGATATTTATCATTTGTCGCGACAGTTGTGTAAGAAATGTTTGAAAATTCCTCCATCGGCATGAACGCAGGCTGCCGTTCGT